TACGAACTCGCCTCGACTTACGAACCGGATCCGCAGCCATTTTCCGCCCGTTCCACGTGGTACGCGGCCATTTTTCCACCCTGCTGCGTGGTCAGCGGCCGTTTTTCAGCCCCTGATGCGTGGTCCGTGGACGGCGGAACGGATTAACGGTAATTACATTGAACCTTATGGGAAAATTTACTTCGATTTGCGACCAACTCAACTTGCTATCAGAGTCATGGAACGGATTAAGTTCGTAAGTAGAGGTACCACTGTATTGGTGATGGGGGAACTGCCTATGCTATGAGGAACACAGATGTAAGAAACAATGTAAAATTACCTTCCTAGCCCTCAACCCCTGGTCGGACCTTCAGTGCCATCCCTGCCACAGATGCACCCAAAGAGGACAAGGTCTTCTCTTCGTTTGAGTGGATGGCATCTGTGGTGGATCAAGAATAGTATCAGCAGATATCTAAACCAGTATACTTTGAAAATATTCTATTTTCAGTTTCATAGAACAGACTAAATGAAGGGGAGAAAAATCTGGATGATAATGCTTTGCATTTTAAATTCTGTTTAGAAAATGTTTTTGTAACTTTTAAATACCAAAAACAATAACAATAATGAAACCCAACCCTCCCCCCCACATGCTCCACACTAAAGGCAGTTCATGAAATACTATAATGTGAATATATGATTCTGTCTCTTCTGCATGTGCATTTGACTAAAACAGGGTGTTAAAATACATTTTCAGTAAAATGAAGAAAAATAAAACACCTCTTTTATTTTAACATTTTTAATTTCTGAGATTGCTTTCCCCATCCACAACTGAACAAAGCCCTTTCTGTATATTACTTCATACTTTAGCCAAGATTTCAGTACTGTTCTGCAATATTGCTTCTTTAAAAAAAAAACATGACTCATTGCATCATAAAGTACTCCCAGATCCATTAAAGTTTAAAATACCAGGAAGAATCTGTTTGAAGTCATACTGTATTTTGTTCTAATTTCCACTGAAAAACAAATATTTGTAGAGTTGCAGACTCGTTACTTGGAAAAGTAAAAACTGATCCTTAACTGCTGTTTATAGCATCCTTTGGGGAAGGAGAATCTTTCAAAAAAGACACTTTTGCAAGAAGTAGTGTATAAAAATAAATAAAATGGAGTGTATTTTGTGATTGGGTAGCCCAAAATATAGTCTTGGATGAAACATGCACAAAATACAGTGGAACCTCGGGTTACAAACGCTTCTGTTAACGAACTTTTTGGCTTATGACCAGCTCCGGCCGCAAAATTTTGCTTCGGTTTGCGAGCTCCGCCTCGGGGTACGAACAGG